CGGCGTCGATAATCCAATCCTATATCTCACTAATTATGATAAAATGCAATTTTATAGGATTGAGATAGATTCATTTAATTCAAAGGTATTAATACCTATACATTTATAGATCATTATTTTTAATGAACTTTAAATTGTAACCATTTTTACAAATAGGACGGAAAGTTGATTCCCATTAAAACAACTATTGAACAGTTGTCATCTCATCCAATATTTTCAAGGATTGTAAGTATTTGTTATCTAATTTTTATAATTACTAATTTTTATACAGTATTATAAACAACTAGATTAGAATTACCATTACCCATAGACTTAGCATTGTCCATAGTATTAGCATTAGTTCCATAGGATTATATTAACATTGCCAATAGGATAACATTATCCCCATGTTAAAGTATAGCCATGGACTTAAGCTGGGATCCCATGTTAAATCCCATAGAGGGGGAGGGAGCGGATTCATATCTGAATTGTGGTTAAAAAACAATCACATATGCTTTCAATTGTAAAATACAACCAATAATTTTATTATTTATTTCACAAATCCTATTATCTAAAAGTGTGCTCCGATTGAGACCAATGGATACAATTCATCACTTTTGTTATCTGAAGACTCGATGAATGGCATGTCTTTCAATATGTCACCAGTGGTTCATTATAACGCATACATAAGCGTTATCTTAAGTATTGTCTTATGGTATTCACTGCTTATACTTAGCTTTTTAGCTCATTTCTGATCTTTTCTATTAAACTCACTTTTTTCCGATCAATGAATAGAGTTCATTATAACGCATACATAAGCGTTATCTTAAGTATTGTCTTATGGTATTCACTGCTTATACTTAGCTTTTTAGCTCATTTCTGATCTTTTCTATTAAACTCACTTTTTTCCGATCAATGAATAGTTTGGACAGAATTTTCATAAAAAGATTTTTGAAGGATTAAAGAGAAACAAAAAACAGGTAAACGAAGTCTGAATTATAAAGTGAAAGGAATTATAAATTGAAGGAAAACAGGAAAACAAACTTATTTAAGCCACACATTAATGTTATCAAAGTCTATAATATTGTATTAATATTCATGTTTTTTATACAAAATATTTCATACAAAGAAATATTATTAATATTTATTGCAATTTAACGCACATTAATGGCATGAAAT